TTCCCATTTTTAGTGATGTGGTAAAAAGTTTGGTTTAAGCCAATGGTCAGTTTTTTCAAAGAAGGGAATTGAACTGGAGCTCCATAATTTAAGCATATGATTGCAATTAACTGCTTCAGTTTTTTCTTTGGAAATAGTGACCTTATCTATACTGTAGCTCTAACAAAAATTCCCATTGCGTTTAATGTTTGTTTATTTATTCAATTTATATAGCCGCCCATCTCAGACCAGTGACTCTGGGCAGCTAACAATAATAAACGCAATCAAGCACTTAAAACAATACAGAAAATATAAATACAGCCAAGAGATCTTAAAAATGTTGAGGCTCGTGAGGTGGGCTCATGAGGTGGGAACCGGTGATTCTCAGGCAAGAGATAGGCATTCTGTAAATATATCACAATTGTCCAAGGCCATTAAGGGATGTGTCAGATATGTTGTTGTGGGCTGCCCAGAATTGTGTTCTGAGATGGGTGGCCATACAAATATTTTAAATAAATAAGTTTATTTGGAAGGGCAGTAGGAAAAAGTCTCTTGAGAAAATATAAAAGTCCCTTTGCATTACAGTGGGCTATCTGTGTGTGAAAATTCATTCTTGTCTGCAGTAAAAATTCTCATCTAGCTGAGCGTTGTCTGTGAGATTCTGCCAAGTTAAGCTGAGAAGCTGTAATAAGGGTTACATAGCTGGAGATTGGTGATTTACAGCTAAGTCTGGCTGTGAAGCCTAACAATTTATCCCAGGAGGGACCAGGTTATGGAGAAAAGGGATTTTTGCCACAATGGTTTCAATACCACAATTTGTATACCCCGGTCTTATTCTTGGTCTGTCCTCCTTACTTTGGTTGTCTTTTTTGTTTGTTTGTTTGAAAAAACCCTTCAGCATATTCTCTGTAGTGAGATGGGCAGTGACAAATTTAAAATATAAATAAATAAATAAATATTCATATAGCTGAACCTGTTGCCTTTCTGCTGAAGTGGATAGGAATAGATTTTGTTATTTGGCAATAGAATGTGCTCTTGCTCAAAGGTACTTTGGTTTCTACTGATATGTTCTTATATTAGTATTCAGGCAGGTTCCAGAATTGAGCATTGTTTCAAAACGTGGAGACAACTGTTGTATTCTGAGAAGAGTAGAAATGTGCAAGTGGGTTGAAGTTGTTCAGTGCTCAGTGTAATGTAGAGAAAACATCTTGTACCTTCAGTTTGTGCTTGGAAGTGAGTATTTCTGCAGGCTTCATATTGAAAGTGACATAGAAATTTTATTTTTCGGCAACCTAAGCTTCAAAAGTATATTCTGTTTTGAACAGGACAGTTCTTTAAAGTGCTTCAAGACTGATGAAGATAAATATAATGAAAGAAAAACTAGCTTAAGATACAGTTATGATCATAATTTCTGTAGGGGTAGAGTGTGATTAAACATCTGCAAAGGATGATTTGGCCTTCTGACTTTTGCTGCAGAGCATAATGTTAAATCATAATTTTGAAGACTGTCCTTGCTCTCTGATTTGTGACAGGGTTTGTGTCAGACAAATGTTGAAACCTCAGCTGACTGAAAAGAGACATGTAACGTGCATGAATAATACCAGAGATGAAAATAGACTGGAATATATAGAATCGGAGCAGCAAAATAGTGTAATGAGGAGAAAGGCAGTGTGTAAGGTGATTTTTTAGATAATGTGCTAATACAGTATAACTGGAATCCCTAGAGCGTTTTTTTCATAGTCCCAAGGGAAAGCTACATGTTAGAACTCTTTTTTATTGTCAGATATTGCCCTAAAAGAGAAAATGTACTATGTTAGGTCCCCAGAATGTTAAGTCAGTGCAAAATAGTGCAGTTATAAATAATTGAAAGAAATGGTTAACAAAGCAAAGTTGCCTCTTGGATTTTGGAAATCATTAGCAAGAATGTGCTTCTCTTAATCTTTTGCAAGCATAATTTTCAAGGAGCCATGAAAGTGTTGTGCCCTGCCATTGTTGGAGTATTGGACCTCCACTGTGGTGGAATTGAACCATTTAATTAAAATGTTGAAAACCTGATCTATAGTTGCAGTTCTTCAGTGAGGAGCGGAAAGGTTTTTGACAGGCACCAAATTTGACAAAGCAGTTGATTTGGACTGGAATCACATTTTACATATTAGTCATGTTTTCCTCCCTATAAAGATAAAGTGAAAATATTCTTGATATGCTGTGCCTGCTTGTTTGATCATTTACACTTTTGATGGCATTTCTGCAACATTTTCTTCTTTTTTATAGAGTTTACATGTAAAAAATGGGCAAATCATGACTGACAAGGGAAAGGAGGAAAGAATTCATGCAAAAGAGGCAAAGAGAGTGGGAGTGTATTCTTGTAGCTCTCTTCTTATCTCATTCACAAACTATGGGTTTATTTTGAACATGGGAGTGAGTTAAAATAGGTCATTTTAGTTCAGCATATGAATTCCTGCTTTCTTTGAAAAAAAAAATGAAAAGCACCTTGTTAGATACTATAGAGGATACTGCCATTAAAAAAAATATGCTGGTTTATTAGTGCAATCTAATCATTACAATATAATATGTTCTCTGACCAACTGATGGCCCTATTATTCATGAGTTTATTCCTTTTCCAAATTCCTTTATGTCTGGGAGGGAGTCCCGCAATACAGTTGGAGATGTGCAGCTATGTTGCTTCTCTTGTCAGGTCTCTGTGTCTGAATTGTATGACAGAACAAGGGAGCAGATGAGACAAGCTGTCAGTCAGCCACACTGCCCTTTGAAGGAAGACCATTGGGGTTGGGGTGGGCAGAGAAGATGCTGCAAATGGGCTGTGAAGTTTACATACAGTGCCCACTGTTAAACAGATTACCTCTAATGAACTGTCTAATGCTCAGGCTATCTCAGTCTAATGCTCAGTGGCAGTTCATCTCTCAACTGCCAAAAAACCCCACCACCCTCTGGCCCTCTCTCGCCACTCTGGCCGCCAAGCACAGAGAGGTGCCCGGTCTTAATAAAGCCAGACAGTGTGTGATCTGACATGCAAATGTAGGTCATTGCATATGTAAATGTGTGATTACAAACCTGCATGCCAAAACACATTAGGGAGACTTTGCTCTCAGCATGCGGCTGTCACACTGCCTTAGTAGTTCATGCTAATGTTTGTCAAGTTGCTGTGCAGACAGAGGATGCAATTCCCTATTCCAATTTTGAAATATATGCTGGTTAAACAACCACAAAAACTCCAAACTTAATGAAGCTACATCCTGTTTCTCTGTAGCCTGAACATTTGAATAATAAGTGAACTCCCCAACTTTCAGTGTTTTTCTCTTAACTGCTAAAGCTAAACTCATTAAACCTGCATAGGCACTTGGAATATAGTTTCCTGAATTGGTACACTGCCATTCCTATCAATGCCACTCGATGTTTGGATTCGGGTTCATCTGGTGAATATTTTTTATTGTGGGGCTGAGTAACTGATGAGACAAAAGTCTAGGTAAATTTTTAGTAGCCACTGAAATTTTAAGAAGAGTATTTGTGTTCCCAAATCATTTTGAATTGCTACTCCTTCTTTTTTGGAAATTCAAACATAAAGTCTGGAAATGAGAAAGTTGTTGTTATTCTCCAAATCTTTATTTTGTTCTTGTTATTTCTATTTGGACTATTATATTTAGTGGAGAAATGTGCAAAACTTTAATATACGGACATACAGGATAACGGAACAGAGTAGAGTCTGCAGTATTATCTTAACTGATTGTCTTGCCCTGTACATTTAAAATGTCAGCTGTATATTAATCAAATGGAGTGTGAATCTGTTTAAAAAGAAAATTGTAAAAAAAACATCAAGAAGGGAAGTGGATGAAAACTGTAGATTCTATTACTGTGCTCAGCTTCTTGATTTGCTTAAAGTAGCATAGTAGTGGCTAGTTAATTTTGATCTCTTCATAACATTTTCACACAGGTTCTGATTGTGGTTCAGTACACATTCCTCCATCTATTTGCATTAGATGCAAATAGATTGCTAAGATTGCATTGCATTGCTTGCATTGCTAAGATAAAATTCTAGTTATTCTCTGGAGTAACTAAATGTTATGCTGTGTTTCATTTCTCTTTCATGTTTTCTGCTTCATCTGCTGTAGACCATAGAAAGCTTTGTTTTCTCTCTAGGAGATATCTTCTGAATGTAAGACCTATATGAACAATATTAAACTGACTGACAGACCAACATAGAATACATATATGTATTCCTCTCAATTTGCACAAGCATGTATGTATAGTCACATGCCATGCTTAAGGCAAAGAATTTGTGGAGCCTCCATTAGATGGAAATATTTAGAAGGAATATTCCAAGCCTGGCACAAGTCTGGCACCCACAGATATTTTGGAGTTCAGCTTCCACCAAGCCCATGCAAAATGGCAAATAGCAAGGAATGGTAACTGAAAAAATTAAGAGGCACCTTCACCTTCCATGGTGTCCTTTCTTGATAGAAGTGTAATCTGTAGCTCTTGAAGGTACATTTTCATTGAATCATAGAGTTGGAAAGGACTTTAGAACCCTCTAGTCAAACCCCTTGCTTAGTGCAGGAACCACAAGGGCAGTTTTTAAACAGATGATGACCCAGCCTCAGTTTGAAGACCTCCAGTGAAGGAGAACTTACTCCTTCGTATGGCAGCCTGTTGTACTGGCTGACAACTCCTACGTTCTTATCACACCCTTGAGCAGCCTTGTGGAATAGTTGGGCTGAGAAAGTGACTGACCTGACGTTACCCAGTAAACTCCATGACTGAGTGGGAACTTATATATCCGTTTTCCTGCATCTATTCAGAACCATAACCCTTGGCTTTTAGGACTTCAAAGGCCAAAGCTAGTAGCTTAAACTGAACCTGGAAGTATGTTGCAACTATCAAACTTTCCATTGCTAATACAGACATGTTTGTCAGTTCGGAGAAGACAGAGGGAGTTGTAGATCTTTAGATATAAAATTACTGACACTTAGAATTCATTATATAAATTAAATATATGCAGACTCTCAAGTTTGGATAATCCCATTTCTCAAGCGAGCATTTCAAACTCAGAACAAACACATGCTTGGTGTTTTTCAAGTAGCCACTTCAGTATAGCTGGCGATAAAGAGTATTTCCTTGTTCCTTCCAGCACAACAACTTTCCTTGAATAGCTCCTCCCACATTTATGTTTCTGGAGCTAATATTCTGAACAGCTGGCTCTATTGGCAGAGAGAAAATAATGTTTATTTAATTGTTTGTTTTTGTATCTTGGACTGCAGAAAGCCTTACGACCTGACATGGGCTACAATACTTTAGCCAACTTTCGGATAGAAAAGAAGATTGGCCGTGGACAGTTTAGTGAAGTGTACAGAGCTACGTGCTTGTTGGATGGTGTGCCAGTAGCTTTAAAAAAAGTGCAGGTAAGCATCTGTCAGGCAGTAGGAAGTGAAAAACATCCCTGTCAATTCTGAGATGGTTGCTTAAATGTTATTTCATGTATTAATTTAATTATTCTTTTCAAATCTCACCACTTAGAGTCAGTTCTGATTGAAGAACTACAAATGCTTCATAAATAAATAAATAAATAATGCTAAGTTGCTGGAATACAATATTGTAAAAAGAATAGTGATTATATAAAGTGATTATCAGCAAAGGCTTTCCATTTTTAGGAAGCAGTTGGGTTGTCAGCAATAAATATGTTCAATATAACATTACATTTTATAATGGAATTTACTAAAACTGTGTTGTGCTTTGGAAAAAAATGGAAAATGGGTTCAAAGCATGTGAGAGTGCAAGTGTAACCTGTCTTTAAAAGAGTCTGCATCTCTTTTCCGGGGATCATGTGGTTGCTCTCTGCAGTTGCCACAGAAGAAAAGATGCAGCTGCTTTAAGAAGTTGAAGAAAGGTGCTATGTCTGCACTCCCATTTGTTCAAAGCAAGAATCCAAAGCATTTCAGAGCCTTAGGAATTATATCTCAACTCAACATCATGTACAACCATTGTGGGAAATTCTACCCACAATGAGTGCGTTTTATTATTCCTGTTTTCACTGTAAGGTTGTAGCTGTCTAGTAAACTTGTTTTACCCTCTCTAACATTGTTAAGAAAATCAGATCTAAGAAAAGGCTGTGCATCTCTGTTTACCATTTATTCCTTGGATAGCAATTTCTGTATTGCTTTTAGGTCAGTTTGTAGCAGATAATGTTTGGCACTAAATAGTACTACTAGCTATTGCTGGGGAAATGGTTAGGAAAGAAACTTAAGAGTTCTACAGTCTTCTTACAATAAAGCCAGACTGTGGACTAAAGTAAGAAATTGACCCTTCCACAGTACTGTTTGGCTTTCTGCTGATAACCATTATGTTTTCTGGTCCTAAGGCATCAGTGTCAATATAATTTGTTCCAATGTATTTGCAGTTGCAGACTAAAGCAATTAGGCAAGATTTGTAGAGAATCAAGATTAAGTTCGTTAGAACAGCTTCTTGCACTGCCAAATATGTAGATCAGGGTGTCAGGAAGTAGGCACTCTTGCCCCTTTTCCTAGATAAGAAGATTGCCTGTGTATGTATTTTGAGAGGGTGAGAGAGAACAAAAGCACAATGATCTCTGGTGCGTATTATGTCTCTGTCAACTTCCACTTCCTCCCCACCTCCCCACCCCAACTTTTAGGTTGTTTTTTTCCTCCCTTTCTACTTAATAGTTACAAAGTATTGTCAGTGTTGCTTCATTTTCTTTGTATTAATTTTTTCCAAGTCCCATGTGTGGTAGCATGGTGAGTAACTTTCAAAATGCGTTCTTAGCAGTGGAAAATCCCTGCCCATATTTGTCTTAATGAATCACTCCCTAGTCTTGCTGCCATCCTGTAATCAGGTTAATCCATCCTGTTACCTGTCGAGCCCTACTGTGGCAGATCATGACAGGATTTGGATGGGATGGTTTTATAGTTTAATCTCACTGTTTTATTGGACCAGTTTATTTAAAAAGATTATTCAATTCTTAAATTGAATTGCTAGCCTGCTTCTCATCAGGAAATCTGTAGATCAATAGAACATTACTTAAATATTCTTGGATAGGCCATGTTTAAGTCTCTTCCTTTCTTTTCCTTTTTTAAAGTTACATAACCAACCTAAGTGAACTCTTTTATTGAGGTATAAGAGAAAATGGGTGAAGAGGAGAAAGCAGGGTACAGTGTTGTTAAATCATCACATAAAGGAGTCAAAAAGAGAACTGCCAAAATAAACCCAATGTTGTGCGTTTACTAAACTCTTTTTAAACTTATGAACTTAGCAGGATTGTGCATTGCCCAGTAACAGCAATAAAAAAAAGTTTAAGATGTATTGCTCTCTGTACACTGTGGCGGTTTTTAGTATGCTTGGTCTTTCCAGGAACTTCGCCAGTTTCAAATTGGTACCTGTCTGACAACAGCAGAAGCGTCAGGCCTGTAGGGTCGAACATGATTCTGAGTCCTGACATTAGAATTCTGGTCCAGGCCTGGGCCTTAATACTTGGCACATTAGCTTCAAGCCTCAAGACTGCATTAAGGATTAATTTTGGGGTACTGAACAAAATCCTAAGGAAATTCAATTGCATAGTTTCATAAGCCCTTAGGTTTGTATATGGGCCAATATACCCATATCCTATGTAATAGTTGGGCAACTGTTTTAGTCATAAAAAGTTTGATTGCTGCTGGAATGTAATTTGCCCCTGTTGCCTGTAAAATTTAGTTATTGCTATTATGTTCTTTTGGGCAGTAGAAGTGGCATAATTTACCTGGGCTGTTAATTTCCTAGA